ATTAGTATTCTGTGTGATCAACAAGGCTCTAACATTTAAGGAAGGAAGTTCTGGTTTGTTTCTATTTGCAACATTATCTGTGATTCCTTTAGTACAACTATTTATACACTTAAAATCCAGAAGTTCAGTAAGAAATTCCAACTCGAGGAATTAAACAAATAATAATGACATTATTACTAAGATGATAATATGTAAAAACTATAAAAATGAAATATTGATTTGATTCATTCTCTATGGAGGAAAATTAAATGCAAACGTCTATCTTCAAAGGCGCAAAGACCTTTGAGAGTGATTTTTACTTGTGTGAAGACCTTATCTTTCTTTATGAAATCCTGTCAAATACCTGGCAAGTAACTAAAAATATGATCCTATATTTTCTTTAGATATGTATGTAACATTTTCTTAAGATAACATATGCATTAACATTTCTAATGTGTTCTGATTTCCCAATGTTATAACTGCAAGAAATGACAGGTGTCTTGAAAAGTTTTTAATAGTGGCTTTAAGCTCAAATGAAAGTTAATTATATGTACTCGGTGGTACAACTGAATGCTTAGCTAGTAACTTTAAGATTTCTGTAAAGACTTGGTGATCTGTTCCTATAAAGATTTCAGCCTAGGAAACCCAATGAGCTGGGTCCTCTGTCACATAGTCACAATGATTCAGAATCAACTCAACAGCATCCAAAAACATTTTACAGGTCTAGAAAACCAATCTGGACTCTTCTCCTGAGGTATCTGAGAGAGCCAACCAGGACCACGGACACATTAATACAGAGTGAAAAACTGTTTGTCATGAATGTCACAACAGAACCAGGGAAAGTTACAGTTCAAGAAAGGCCTAAGAGTTTAGCACAGGAGAATAAGTTTAAAAATAGATAAAAGGAAAGGTATGTAAGAAGAACAAAAAAAGACAGACAAAGACCTAAAAAAAGATGGGCTTGTGGTTGAAAAGTAAAAGCTGCCGTCAACAATTGCAGGGATAGTGTGAGGCATTCTTTGGGGGAGTTGAGTAGAGCAAGGTTGAAATGTCAGGCAGGCACGCAGGTAAGTGGGGAATGACATAAGATCTTTCAGAGACACACAGTCCATTTTTATAGCTTACTTTTACTCGCCTCCCCAGTCTGTTTGAATATTAACATGTAAGAGATTCCTAACAATAGTAGAGAAACTCTAAAACATGTTTATAAAGCAAAGCATTCAATATAAAAATTGATTCTCTCAATATCTTTCTTTTAGCAAGTTCTGTGTGAGTAACACAACACTGGGCAAATCCTCTCTTTTTTTTTATTTAGTTTGTTTATTTTTCATTTCAATGAACATCTACAGAGATTTTGGAATTCCATTCATTCATTGTTGCACCCTTCTCCCCGCACAAACCCCTCCCCCCCCTTTGCTCCTCTCCTTGAAAAGCAAAAGAAAAACTCCCTCATTGGTACACAATCCTCCCCACACACACCTCCCCAAACCCCACCCCCTACCCCCAAATATAATCCACTCTGCAACCCTCATTGCGTACTCCTATGATAAAAATCCTCTCTTAACTAGTCTGCACTTCCATCCATTCCATTCTTCTGTAACTCTATATTCCCAAGGCCAGAAGGAAATCAAAGAGGTTAGCTATAACCAGGACTTCAGTCAATGTAACTGTTTTTAGACAAGGCAAGGGGTTTACATTTCCACATATCATGCACCTGACCCTCTCCTCAACCTTTCTCCAGATGTGGCCTAAGGAAAGCCCCATGGCATCTCTGAATCACCGTTTCAGAGCAGTTGACTCTACTTACTTGTGAGAGAAAACAAGATTAATTAATAAATTTTCAAATCTTTTAAGGAAAAAAGCTGGCGCTAGTAAGACACAGATGTGAATTGTCTGATTCACCCCTTCTCCACTCATCAGGGAAGTCTGTATCACTTGCTGACCACCTGGAATTGCCTCTACTAGCCATTTAACGTGTTATTCCCTCACCCTCTTTGGTGCACTGGATGCTGTGGAAAAAGCTTCCCTAACTAGACTTCAAGTTAGCCAAGTTTCCTTTGAAAACTGGGAGGTACTTTAAGGTGGAAATTTCACTTTCTGATTAAATATGATATTTCAATTGCTTTCTTTGCTATCATAGCTTTCACAGTACAGCAATTTGGTAAGTTTAAAGTCCACATGTCTTCTTAAAAAAACTCCATTATCTTTGGTACGCAGATACTTAATATTTTAATGGCTTAATTATTGCTCCCTAGAGTATGGGGGGTTGAAGGTGACACCTTATCTCTGATTAACCACCAAGGGAGGGGGAGGGCAGTATGCTAATCTATGCTTAACAAAAGCTAAAGAGCCATACAATGCTCCTGCTACTGGTGAATAAATCTGGAGTGAAAGAGAAAAATGCAACTTAAGTCTGCCCTCACCTACACATTTTCAAACTTACATAGTCAAAGTTTACTAAGTATTCTGAAAATATGATCCCAGTTCTTAGAAGACTAAGAAAAACAACCATCATATTATCCACCTTCAGCCTATATAGTTGTGGGTAACTCTTGGCAACTTGCTTTGCAACTTACCTGTCAGTCCTGCAACCCATCTGCCAGACTAGACTTCTGAACCTCAGGGAAAAAGCTCCAAGCCTTTGCTACCCATGGGCATTAAACCAAGTAGCTTAGTCACAAAAAATGCTTTGCTCTAGATGTACCCATATCTTTATTTCCTCAATAAATAAGTCCTTCCCCACCCCCCATTCTATTTTTCAAGCATGAAAATATAAATTTTACCAAAAACCAGAACAGGAATATAACATGTGGCGCATCAGAAATCAACCAGCTTTCTGAAAGTAACAGGAATGGAATTCACAACTCTCAATCCCTCCAGCCCTAGCTCCCCAGGCCTGTATCAGTCATCATGATAGTTGTCTCAAACAGCCCTGACTGAGGAGCCTATTTGTTAGAAGGCAAATGTTCTGAAAAAAACTTTACATCAAGGCCTAAACTCTAACATCAAAGCCAAGAGAGCTAGGAACAAGCAGGAGTTAAAAGATAAGGGAGGAAGCCTTCTGAGAAACAGACCACCTATGCAGAGTAGGCCCAGGAGAAGAAGACAACACATTTAAGTAACATTTACCAGAGCAAGTACTCATTTGCTGCTCTCCTTTTCACATAAGTATACTCGATTCTTTTATAGCAAGATTCCAGGTTGGTCTTGAGAACACATGCAAAAATAAGGAAAGACAAATTACGTGTGGGTTTGCCTCTCGGTTAGCAGCCGAGTGTGGCCTCCAAAAAAGGGCCCTGGTAAAACCCTTTGTTCAAGAAGTCCAATCCCACTCCTCAAGCAACGCTTTTCATTTCAAGTCCTCTAAAGACAAACTTAAAAGTGAGCCCCTAAAGAACTGAAGAATAAGCAAACAAGTCCAGTGCTTTCCAGGGGATCCCCTTGAGGACGCCCCCACTGTGACAATATCAAATTACAGGGATTTTCCTCTCAGCTCTGCTCTCTGTTTTCTTTTTGCTTTTTAAAAAAGTATCACACATAGACCCATTGTAAGGCTACCATTTCAAATACTTTGTAAATAAATACATGCCCATTCCCAATCTCTCCGGAGACTGCTAAGAATCTGGGAGGACCTAAGCATGTAATTTGAATAATAATGAAGCGCCTGAACAATTTAATTTTAAAAGGTAGCCCGAGAGACTTCCGGGATGGGCCTGAAAGGCTTCATCTACAACAATGTGGTCCGAGTGCTCAACTGTGGGACCAATTACTGGGAGTGCAGGAGAGAGATGTGCACAGGTGCAACCCCAGTTTAAGCACATGGAAAATGAGCTCAAACACTCACTGGAGACAGGATGAAAAAGGATGGCTTAGAAAGCTTCTCTCATTAGGAGCAAGGCTTTCTCCTCTTTCTGATTCATAGAAAGCTGCATCCGTCATAGATAAAATAACAAAAAGAAAACTGTCCGTGGGAGAAAATCTCTGCGTGGGGAATTTTAAATAAGTTCAATGAATTCTCCAAAAAGTTAAGAACCAGCAGTCACAAAGATACTTCTATTCCTCACACGAGTTCTTCAATGTGAAATATTTTAAGTTAGTTCCCTCTCTAGGACAACAACTTCAAGAAGTTATGTTTATTCTATGGACCCTTTCAAGCGACCCTCTCTCCCCCTTGATTTTGAGGAAAACAAAATACAAGCTTTTTTACAAGCTTTTTTAAAAGCACATAAGGCTTTTTAAGACCCCACAGGCTGCAAGACTGCTAAATTGCTGCTTAAACAAGAGTTTGCTTCTCATTGACAACGTGTTCCCCCGCCACACGCTCACTCTCCCGGCGGACACCGCCATGCCCAGGTGGTGACACCCGTGCAGATAAGGTGTCCTAACAACCGTATCAGCCTGGATCCTGGGAAACCCGCTTTCACTGCCGGCGACTCCAGGAGCACCAGTGCGCGCCCGCCCTGACTGCCCTGCAGGTTGCCCCAAGCAGCAGACCAGGAGGCCGTAGGACCACTCCCGGGGCGACAGGGGACAAGACTGACACCCGCAGCTGCTGACGACCCTGCCAGTCAGTCACGCTGCCGCCGGCTGCCTTTTTTAGCCACGACATTTGACCCCGGCTTCAACAGCAGCATTCAGGGACTGGTCCCTGAGCGCCCCAATAAGTCCCGTTTCCTCCCCACCCCCCAGACCCCCGCGGAGAGCTCCGGGAGAGAAGTGGAGGGGAGGCAAGGACCCTCCAGAAGGCCGTAGAGCGTGCGTCCCCCCAGCCTTCCTCCTTCCTTTCCTGCCCCTCTCCACCCATCCCGTTCCCCCTTCCGTCGCCAGAAACCGGGCTCCCCCATTTTGTAGCTCGCAGTCGTCCCTCCGGCGCCCCGCCCCGCCCCCACCCTGCAACTCCGCTCCACTGGAGCCCCTCCAAGTCGGCGGCCCGCGCGCCCGGCCCGGCCCGGACGGGAAGAGGCCACCGCCAGGGAAGGGGCGCGGGCTGAAGACGCCCGGCGCGGGGGCTTGGCGCTCACCTCCCTCCTCCGCCCCGCTGTCCGGGTCGGCGTCCGAGGTGTCGGGCCCGTCCCCGTAGTCCGCTAGCCCCACCAGCTCATCCTCGTCGTCGTCGTCCTCCTCGTCTTCCGGCGGCGGCTTCCCCAGCACCTGGCTCATCGCGCCCACCGGCTGGCCGTCCCGGGGTCAGCGGGGGTCCCGGATCAACGCGAAGCCTTCTCGCCTGCCGCCTGCAACCTAGCTCTGAATTTCGGTTTTGTCTAGATCGCGGCGGGGGCCGAGAGTCCCACGCGGCGGGCGGCGCCCAGGTCTGGGTCCCGCGGTTCCCAGCGCTCCCGGAGCCCCCTCCCCCGCCCCGCCCGCCGGCGGAGGAGTCAGCCGGAGCGCGGCAGTTCCTCCCTGAGGAGGGAGAGGGAGAGACTGCGTGACCCGAGTCACCTGACACACACTGTCACACACTCACACACACACATACCCCGCACGGGCGCGCGCGCGTTCCGCCGAGCGCAGGCGCTGCTCAGCGGGGCGCTCGCCCCAGACCACACACCCTCTCTCGGGGAGGTGTAGGGCGGCAGAAGCCCCCAGGCGCCCAGATCTGTACACATAGACATAGCCTGGGTATACTGGGCTCCGGGGCCTCGGCGCAATCTCTAACCGCGGCTGCGCGCCAGCAGCCCCCAAGCGCCGCTCCTGCACGTGGTCCTCAGCACAGGCTGGCGAGGTGGGGGCTGCACACCCTGAGAGCCACCCCCAACCCACAGTGGCGGTACCAACACCCTCCAAGGTGGTCCGCTCCAGCTTTCAATCCTGGGCTGTGGTTCCCATCCCAAGTGGCCTATCCTCCAATGCTGCGCTCAGACCCCCACTCCAGAGCGACGTGCAGAGGACACCCGATGGATGTTGGAACACTCCTGGAAGAGAACTCAGAGGGAAATGCACGGAACAGGCTCAGTCTCCATGGCGGCTGCCGTTTAGTGTGCAGTTTGGTTCAAAGTGCTTCCCATCAAGAATATATTTTAAAATCAGGCCCACCCAGATGCAAATCTTTGTGAATACATGGCTGGCTAGAATAAATAGTAATTCCTCTACAGCGACTTGTAAAAGGTCTTGTTGATAACACTCGGGGGAAATTCATGTACCTCCTCCTAACGTCTCATTGTTTCATAGACAATAATCGTACATCTCAAAATAAAATGTTTCAAAGCTTAGCGGGGGTTTGGAAGGGACGATAGGGGGAGGCGACAGTTCTCAAATAGGAATAGCAGCAATGTGGGGGTGAAATTTAAACCTGCATTCCTCCTTCACAAGCTATTCACCGAAAGACATACTGTATCCACCCTCTCTGGCGACTGCAAAAAAAAAAAAAATCACGTGGATGGACTTCCTTCTGTCAAACACAATAACTAACCGGCTGGCCTGCATGGTTATCCACATCCTACAGGTGCCAGCAAGTCAGCAGGTGGTGTAGGGGAGGAGAGGAGCAGGAAGGGCACTTGGACTTGTAGCCCAAGGGTGCTGCTTCTGTAGCAAATATTTCTTTAGAACCTACTTAATTCCACGATGCTGGGCTAAGTGAAGGCTCAGGAACACTCACTGCAGTGTTTCTGAAGTCTTGCAGGTCATGACTCATTTTGGATTTTTTTTTCTTTCCTTAACAATTCTAGGTCACCACCTTTTGGGAAGTGGTTATTTTATTTAGAAAGGTGCTAGGATTTTCCAGGTGGAAGCAGTGAAATTTGGCAATGATTGTATTAGTCAAAGTTCTTCCCAGGAGGAAACATGGCACATGCAAAGATTTTAAATGAAAAGTCTAAGTGAAGGGACATTTTAAAAAGTGTAGGTAGGGTTAGGGAATCGATCTAGGGGTTAACGACAGTAGGAAGAGATTGTTGTTGTTGTTGCTGTACTACATTCTGCTGGAACCAACTCACAGCTGACCCTCTAGCAGATTATCATAGGCAGTTTACCCTTCTCCCAAAGAACAGCTAAGCGATTCTGATCTTTCAGGTAGCAGCCCAGCTGCTTATCACTGTTGTTACATGCCCTCAAATTGGTAGACCCTGTGAACAACAGACCTGAAACCTATGCTATCCTCATCATCTCTGACATGCTTCATGAGCCCATTGCTGCAGTCATCGTCCATCCATCTCATTGAATGTGTTCCTCTCTTCTCTTTCCCTGACTTTTCATCTTTCCTAGCATGACTTCACATTCTGTGGAATAGCCTTTCCTAGTAAAGTGCCCAAAGTATGAGAGACAAAGCTTTGTCATCCTTGCCTCCAAGGAGACTGACTGGACTTTTGCCAAGACATAGCTGTTTGGTCTTTTGACAGCCCTTGAGATATTCAGCACTCTTCTTCAACACCACAGTTCAAAGTCATCAATTCTTCTGTCATCCTTATGTATTGTCTGCTTCTCAGATGTAAGTTATTTAAAAGACCACAGTCTTAATCAGATGCACCTTAGCCTTCAAACTGACATCTTGTTAGGGACTTTGAAGATCTCCCTGACAGTGGACTTGCCCAATGCTATACTTCTCCTGATCTCCTGACTACTGGTACAGAGTATTGATTGTTGATCCAAGCAAGATTGAATCACTGACAACTTCAATTCTTTGTCCATCTATCATGATGCTGTCTTTTGGTCTCATGGTAAGGATTTTTGTCCTCCTGATGTTAAGATGTAATCCATGTTGAAGGCTGTAGTCCTGGATATTCTACAGCAAGCATTTCAAGTTCTCTTTACTTTTAGAAAGCAAAGCTGTGTCATTTGCATAATGCAAGCTGTTGATGAATCTCCCTCCAATCCTTATGCCACACCCCTCTTCACAGAATTCAGCTTCAAGACGGGTGACCCAACAGAATGTGGAAATTATAGACCAATATCATATGCAAAAAAAAGCATGGCTTAAGATCATCCAGAAATGGATCATTAAGGAAAAATCTTTCAGAAGAAGTTCAAGCTGAGTTTAGAAGGGACTGTGGCACCTGGGATTTGCTGATGTCAGATGGATTCTGGCTAAAAGCAGAGAATATCAGGAAAAATAACTATATTGCCTATGCAAAGGCATTTGACTGTGTGAATCATAACAAATTATGACTAACATTGAGAAGAAAGGGAATCCTAGACCACTTAATTGTGCTCATGTGAAATCTATACCTAGATCAAGAAGCTGTTGTCTGAATGGACAAGGGAACACTATGTGGTTAAAATCAGGAAAAAAATGTGCATCAAGAATATATCCTTTCTCCATACTTATACCTTACCTCTGTTGTTGCTGTTTGCCATAGAATCAGAACCAACCAATAACTGACCCTGCAGCAGATTTTCAGAGACAGCAAATCTCAAGGGAGGAGATTATCCATTCTTCTTTCACGGAGCAGCTGGTAGATTCACATTGCGTGCTTTTGGGATTACCACCAGAGCTCTGTCACTCCAAAATGTGTCAGAATAAAGAAGGGTGGCTGGCTTCCTTAAGATGGGCAGCAAAACAAAAGATATGGCTGGTGAAGAAACACCTCACATCAAAGCAGCAGGCAGTAGGGTGAAGAAGTACCCTGATACTTCTTTCCTTCCATTCTTCAATACTGTAAGTGCTTCTCATTAGCCAAACTGGAAATTATAGGTCAAAGTAAACCTAAAACTTCATCCACAGAGGTTAAATTCAGAACTCAGATTGGAGAGGAAGAGTGGATTGTGAATGAATGGGCTCAAGGTTGCCTAACCAGCAAAGCAGGCTCTTCTCCCTCCACTAGGAAATCACTTGAGCCTTCTGGATCTCACTCCTCATTAAGAAAACATTATCCTTACAAGAGTTCTTACCAGCACTCAAACCCACTACCAATGAGTAAATTCTAACTCATACCAGCGACCCAATATGACAGAGTAGAGTTACCCCACGTAGTTTTCAAGGCTATATTGCAAAAGCAGGCTAACTCCATATTTCTCTTTTAGAGCAGCTAGTGGGTTTAAATCACTGACTTTTTGGTTAGCAGGCAAGCACCCAAAGATTTTACAGCAAGGCTCCATCCTAGAATTATTAAACGCAAATACTCATTGCTATTGAGTCAGAACTGACTCATAGCTGACCCTCCATTGGAATTTCAAGTCTGTATATCAAATGGGAAGACATAGCCCCACCTTTCTCCCTGGAAGCCGATGGTAGACTTGAACTGCTAAAGAAGGGTTAGCATTGCAACTCCGAGTTGTTGTTATGTGCCATCAAGTCGCTTGCAACTCATAGTGACCCTATGTACAACAGCCTTAAACCCTGCCCTATCCTGTGCCAATCGCACTGCCTCCGACACACCCATCCTGATCACCCCAGTCACTGAATCAATCTACTTCATAGAGGGTCTTCCCCTCCTGCACTGTCCCTCTACCCTCCCAAGCATGATGTCCCTCTCCAAGGACCAGTCCCTCCCTTCCAACATGTCCAAAGTATGTCAGACGAAGCCCCAGAATCTTTGCCTCCAAGTAGCAGCCTGGTTTAACCCTCTCCAGGGTGAATCTGTTTGTTTTCCTAGCAGTCCATGGTACCCTCAACACTCTTCTCCAGCACCACAGCTCAAAGGCATCAATTCACCTTCTATCCTCCCTAGTCATTGCCCAACTCTCTGATGCATAACAAGTGATTGCAAACTCCGAGATATTAGATTAATTAAAAAAATGCATAAGAAGGACCCTATAAGATTCTTTTAAAACCCACTTTCTAGGATATACAAGTGCTCAGTAAATGCAAAGTATTTGTACGCATTCGATAAAAGGAATGATTGCTACCCCAAAGGAGAGTGGGAGACTTCAGATTCTCCTAGAACAAGGGAGTCCACAGGCCTGGGAAGGCCTTCGATTGAGCTGGATGAATTAAACGCCTCTCTCTTCTTTTGCTGTTATCATTTCAATATTGTCCACTTTCGGAAAAGGGCTATATTGAAAATATCCTAGATATAAGCTTTCTTAAAATTGAAACAAAATTATATGTGAGAGTATTTTTCCCAGAACTGAAATAAGAATTGAAAAAAAAAAATACTAGAGGAAGCCGGGAAATATTTGAGAAACTCAGTGAGTTTGGCTGCTGCTCTGGCCGCTTGCTGGCCCAGCTCAGGCTGTGTCTGTGGCTGTCTCCCTGGGAGAGCGTTCCCAAGAATGTTCCCAAGAATTGGTCTCTGGGCTACCCATGGTTTTTCTATTGTATGTAACCATGGCAAGGTTACCTTATACATGATATGTGCTTAATAAATGTTTATGGAAAGAAAGAAAGAAAAAAAATAATGGGAAGAAGAAAGGAAAACAGATAATACTAAGCAAGATCCTCACATCGAGTTGACATATTTTTGAGAGAAAGTTCAGAAA